ATTGGGACGACGATGTACCAGCACCTGCTCCTCAGTCATTTGGTGGCCCCAACAACTTCTCGGGTTCATCAAGCGTACCTAACAAAGATAAAACCATAGCCAAACGGAAGCGGAAATGGAAATGGAGGTGGCCCTGGAAGAAAGAGGATGAGGTACTGGAAGGGGAGAGATTGATCGCGCTGAACAACTCTACTGCCAACTCGGAGTTCTGCTCCAACTATATCTCTACGAGCAAGTATAATGCTGCTACGTTCATACCCAAATTCTTATACGGTGCGTGTCACGTCCGTGCAATGTGTCCTGGGGTGTCTCATGCCCGTGTTAGAGCAATTCTCGAAATACGCCAACATGTTCTTCCTGTTCACTGTTTGCATACAGCAAATCCCCGGTGTATCTCCCACAAATCAGTACACAACAATTGCGCCACTGGCTGTTGTGCTCCTCGCATCCGCTATTAAGGAGTTTCAGGAGGACTTGGTACGAGAGACGCTTCATCGTAAACCCTCACGCGTAACTGATCTCTTGGACGTAGAAACGGCATCAATCCGACTCTGAACTCAATGCTCGCAAAGCGAAGGTCCTACAGCCTGACGCAACATTTGTCGACAAGAAATGGAAGGACATTATGGTAGGGGACGTGGTCAGGATGGAAAGTGACGATTTCATACCGGCGGACATGATCCTTGTGAGCTCTAGTGAGCCCGAGGGCTTTTGCTACATTGAGACGTCTAACCTCGACGGGTGAGTGCTGTTGATTAATATTGCGCGTACAGTTACGAACCCTTCACAGCGAGACGAACTTGAAGATCAAGCAAGCTTCACCTCAGACGTCCCCGTTAACTGCCCCACATCTTGTAACGGCTCTTCATGGGAGCTTACGATCAGAGCACCCTAACAACTCGCTGTACACCTACGAGGGAACGCTCGAGCTGACGAACAATATGGGATTGCCCAAACAGGTTCCCCTCGGCCCAGATCAGATGCTGTTGCGTGGTGCTCAGATCCGTAATACACCTTGGTCGTACGGATTAGTTGTATTCACCGGACATGATACAAAGCTCATGAGAAATGCTACGTACGTCTTCAACTATGACTGCCCCTAACTGCTGTTCACATATCCTTTTAGCGCCGCCCCGATCAAGCGTACAGCAGTCGAAAGGCAGGTCAACGTACAGATCGTGTTTCTGTTCATCGTGTTACTTGCACTGTCAATCGGGTCAACGATCGGCGCCAGTATCCGAGCGGTACGGGATTCATTTGACGTTGACTGCGTTTACTGATGAGATGTCGCAGTGGTTCTTTGCGAGTAAGCAGTGGTATCTACTCGAGAGTGACTCTATCGGCAGCCGAGGTGAGTATCGATTGACATTCAGATTTTAGTTACTGACATCTTTTGTAGCCAAAAGTTTCGTTGAGGGTAGGTCGACAAGATCATGCATGTTGTAAACCTAACCCAACGTCCCGCAGATATACTAACCTTCATCATCTTGTACAACAACCTGATCCCTATATCCCTCATCGTCACAATGGAGGTGGTCAAATTCCAACAAGCACAACTGATCAACTCGGATCTGGACATGTACTATGCCAAAACGGACACGCCTGCTCTATGCCGAACATCCTCGTTAGTAGAAGAGTTAGGACAAATCGAATACGTTTTCAGCGACAAGACGGGCACTCTGACTTGTAACGAGATGGAGTTCCGGTGCTGCAGCATCGCCGGCGTCGCTTATGCGGATGTAGTCGAGGAGAGCAAGCGCGAAGGCGAAGACGGCAAGGACGGCTGGCGTACGTTCGCCGAAATGAAGCAGGTGCTCGAGGGAGGCGAGAACCCCTTTGTGGATGTGTCACCCCAACCTGGAGGCGAACGCGAGGTCATCGACGAGTTCTTGACCCTGCTGGCGGTGTGCCATACCGTTATTCCCGAGGACCGGGACGGCAAGATGCACTATCAGGCTAGCAGTCCTGATGAGGCTGCATTGGTCGCTGGTGCAGAGCTTCTAGGTTATCAATTCCACGTAAGTATCTTTTATGTAAGACGTCTGTTTTCCATCTAACCTCTTTCTCTGTTCTAGACCCGTAAACCCAAGTCCGTCTTCGTTAACATCCGTGGGACATCGTATGAGTACGAAATCCTAAATGTGTGCGAATTCAACTCGACACGGAAGCGGATGTCCACTATCGTGCGTTGTCCAGATGGCAAGATAAAAGTATTCTGCAAGGGTGCAGATACGGTTATCCTTGAACGTCTCAGCCCGGACCAGCCATACACTGAGAAGACACTGATTCATCTCGAAGTACGTTACATTCTGAAATTATTCAGTCCACCACCTCATTGTTTGAGTAGGATTATGCCACAGAAGGTCTTCGTACCCTCTGCATTGCGTCCCGCGAGGTATCCGAGCAAGAGTACAACCAGTGGGTCTCAGTTTACAACCAGGCTGCTGCGACCATCAACGGACGAGGCGAAGCTCTTGACAAGGCTGCCGAATTGATCGAAAAGGATCTGTTCCTGCTTGGTGCCACTGCTATTGAGGATAAGCTCCAAGATGGCGTACCCGACACCATACACACCTTACAAACGGCTGGTATCAAAGTGAGCACGATTGTGTTTGAGGGAGTTACATATTCTAATACTGTCTCCCCTTCAAAGGTTTGGGTACTCACGGGTGACCGACAAGAAACAGCTATCAACATTGGTATGTCTTGCAGACTCATTTCGGAATCCATGAATCTGGTATGTGCATTATCGAATGCAGTCATTGAACTTCTGACTCTAAATTAAACCAGGTGATCGTCAACGAAGAGACATCACAGGATACTCATGATTTCATCAACAAACGATTGACCGCGATCAAAAACCAAAGAAGTACGGGCGAATTGGAGGATTTGGCCTTGATCATAGGTCAGTATAAACGTATTGTCCTTTCGTATGACGACGTACTAACTGCACTGCAGATGGCAAGAGTTTGACGTTTGCTCTAGAGAAGGAAATCTCGAAGACCTTCCTGGAGCTGGCCATTATGTGCAAAGCTGTTGTTTGCTGTATGTGTTTCCTTCTTCTTGATAGAAGCATAGCTCAGCGAGAAATCAGGCCGTGTGTCGCCTCTCCAGAAGGCCCTCGTCGTCAAGCTTGTCAAACGGAACTCGAAGGCACTCCTCCTGGCTATCGGCGACGGCGCTAACGACGTCAGTATGATCCAGGCGGCCCATGTGGGCGTCGGTATATCTGGTTTAGAAGTAGGCTTTCGTCCACAGTTATTAAGAACTGTTCTGAGACGTGATCTAGGGTCTTCAAGCTGCGCGGTCAGCCGATGTTGCCATCTCGCAGTTCCGGTATCTCAAGAAGCTGTTGCTCGTGCACGGATCTTGGAGCTATCAGCGATTGTCGAAGTTGATTCTCTGTACGTGAGCTGTCGGGATGATTCTGCAGATTGAACTCACCACTTGTTGATAGACTCCTTCTACAAGAACATCACTCTGTATATGACGCAGTTCTGGGTACGCCAAATCACCACGTCCACCATCAAATGCTAACATGCATGATTATAGTTCTCGTTCTTCAACAACTTCTCCGGTCAAATTGCATATGAATCGTGGACTCTGTCGCTGTACAACGTCGTATTCACCCTGCTTCCGCCGTTGGTCATTGGAGTCTTTGATCAATTCGTATCCGCTCGTATTCTGGACCGCTACCCTCAATTGTATATGCTGGGACAACGCAACGCCTTCTTCACGAAGACAGCATTCTGGATGTGGGTCGCCAATGCTTTATATCACAGTATCGTACGTAGCCTTGTCCATTGCTCCTTTGTTATGTCTTCACCGTGCTGTCTACAGATTCTGTTCGGCTTCTCGGTCATCTTGTTCTGGGGCGATCTGAAGCAGGCAACCGGTTATGACTCCGGCCATTGGTTCTGGGGAACGATGCTTTATCTTGCCGTGCTTCTCACAGTGCTTGGCAAGGCAGCCTTGGTTTCTGAGTATGTGATATACTAAAGTTTTTTCTACGTTTGCGCTAATTCATGCTCAAATTCCATACCAGCCTGTGGACGAAGTATACGGTTGCAGGTAAGTTTATCGTACGACTAGAAGAAACGAACTAAAGCATGTCATTCCCAGCTATCCCTGGTTCTTTCATCTTCACCATGATATTCCTACCGATATACGCCGTCGTTGCGCCGGCTATTGGATTCTCCAAGGAATACAAGGGTATAGTACCGCGGCTCTGGGGCGACGGCGTCTTCTACTTCGTCCTGATCCTCCTGCCCATATTCTGTCTATCGCGTGACTTCGTCTGGAAATAGTAAGCTCGTTATCTGCACACAACATACCGCATTTCGCATTTTAATGATATTGTTGCAGCTATCGGCGAACATATATGCCAGAGACTTATCATATCGCGCAAGAGGTTCAAAAGTACAACATTCCAGATTACCGACCTCGGCAGGAACAGTGAGTCTCCGGCTGCACGTTTCCGAATCACGCACTCACCCCCGTAATTCAGGTTCCAAAAAGCTATCAAGAAAGTACGAGCGGTCCAACGCATGCGGCGGAACCGTGGGTTTGCGTTTAGTCAGACCGAGAATGCTTCTAGGCAAGATCAAGCACGGTTGATCAGAGCGTACGATACGACAAAGACGGGCGCAAGACCATCAGGATACTGAGCATTGTGCATTCTGTTGCTTCGCAGAAGCTGTATATTGTACTCATTATCCTACGCTTTACCGAGTCATTGGCGAGTATACTAATGTCGCGGTTATGCATGTAGATTCACCTTACGATCACATAGGGACATTTTGCTTTCGTATTTATTTCTGGACTTACATATAATGCCATGCGTAACGACCACTCTAACGACAACACTTATACCCGTCAATGTCGTCAATGTTCTATGTTTTAGTGATGAAAAGTCCCATCTGGTCAGTAGAGGTCGACGCCACATATCCGCCGTCGTCGATCGTTCCAGCCATGATGACTTCATATAGTTAAGCGCCAAAGGCACTATAGTGTAGAGGTTATCACTTGGGATTTTGATCCGCTTTGGATTCCCAAAACCCAGGTTCGAACCCTGGTAGTGCCTTTTTGGCACCGGCAGCTGCAAAGACAGATTCGGAAAGTTGTTAAGGCTCCAACCATTTACTTTACATTTACTCGAAATGTGTAAATAAACTGTAAAGGGTTATATACAGTTTATAAATAGTTTATAAAGAGTAAATAAAAGGCATTCGAGAAGAAAGCCAGATGTTCTCGTCCGCCCTTTGACACCGCATATTTACCTACATCACAGTTATTGCACAGAAACTGCAAGGTGTATCGCATTGGACGTACCATTTGGCCGGGGCTTACAAGCATCGCAACATGATCAGGGATGATCTGACCAATCAATTCACTCACACTAGCTGAGGTCTCCGTCGGACCTCGGTGAAGTCTCGAACATACACAAAAGCGGTTTGCGCAGCGTCGTGCTATGTGTCTCAAAATGAGCATTTCGCAAAAATATAAGCCAGCTCTACGGATACTGCACGCTAGGATTCAGAAGGTGTCGGGTTCTTCTGGGGGATCCGGGAACTTCGCTCCGGATTCATCTGCTGCTGAGGTCGCGTACTCGGCTTGCGCTCGCTTCGTTCCGCGTTATTTCGTATAATAATTACCTGACAAGTAGACCTTCACGGATGTGTCATTCAGCTACATGGTAGCGCAAGGAGGCCTGTTGTGACAAAGGTCGCGACTGGAGACGAAAGCATGAACGTACGAACTACGGAGCGCCGGACCGAGGCTGCTCGCAGCGTTAGCGCCGATGAAAGCCTCCAGCGGCGCATCGGCTGGGACGTTCGTAAGGGACTCCGAGGGTAACTACAGCGTCCTTACCTACATTACGGCCTTCTATCGTCCCGGGAATGTTCTTAGAAATTCTCTTACACAACCATTTATTTACTGTTTAATAAACTGTTTACACACTTTTACGCAGAAAAAGTAAATAAACGTAAAGTGTAAACGGTTTTTGCTGTCTATAAACAGTAAATAAACTAAATGGTTGGAGCCTTAAAAGTTGTGCGCACTGGTACATCACGCAACAAACGCAGCTTCTTATTCACTACGTAAAGCAATGTCGGATATGGCATTGAGTGTAACACAATTTGCGCGACACCGGTTATAAATTTCTTGACGAGAGATGGACAAACAGTCGCAATGCACTACTTTATGTATACGAGGGGATAAACGATTGTGAGAGTGAGGGACAGCGGAGTGAGTCGTTGAAAGCGACGGGGCGGCGACGATCATGCAACAACCTCTACCTTCAGAGGCAAAGACGGCGCATCGTCGCTACCAGCGGTAGGGAATGTGATGTTGGAAAAGTTCCAAGTGATCGGCTTGTCGGATGGGCTGAACTTGAAAGACTCCAGTAAGATGGACAATACAACCTCTGTGAAAGTAGTTAGAAGTATTCTCTACATCAGATCGGGAATACTCACTCATCTCCAGCTGGGAGAATTTAGATCCGCTGAAAGCAAGCCCGTTAGCTCCTCTTTACATACTTCACATAGTCTAAGCGAATGAATCTTACATGCATGCACGGCTGCCACCTATGAAGGTCATGCTACAGAAGTTAGACCGTGTTTAGTCTCTTCACGCACATGAGAAATACCAGTTGTGCTCACAGGTTGGAATAAATGCCTGGAATCCTAGCCTCCTTGAGGGGTTCGGGCAAGGGAGAAAGCCAACGCTCTGGCCTCCATTCCTCAGCATCGTCTCCCCATAAGTCCTTGTTGGTGTTGCTCAGCTGATTCGCGGTATAGATGAGAGTTCCACGCGGAACGAAGATCTCGCTCATAAGGCTTCCGTCTTTCCCTTGAATAGGCTTCGAGAGAGGGAGGACAATATCCTCAACGGTGCTGATGATTAGGATGGTCAGAGTATGCCCGCTAGCCAAAATCATAACCCAACGTACTCCCTGCTGGTAAGCGGAACAGGAGGGTGCCTATGGACTGGTGTGAGTAGAGTGTCTCACAAAGAATATCACGGCTTACACTCGTAAAGTCTCCCTGCAGACTGCGTCGAGATAGGGAAGTTCCACGAGCTCATCGTATTCGATATCCTGTCCGTTGCGAGCATCAACAATTTCCCTCCGGAGTTTCTCTTGGACGTCAGGATGTTCTGCCAGTAACTGAAGCGTACGTGCCAAAGCGTTGGACGTGGTGTCCATAGCAGCAAACACCAAAGTCCTGATGAAAATCGATCAATCACGGGCAGCAAGCCTCGAACCACGGATGAACATACGACATCTGGGCAACCACTTCGTCCTCAGACAGCCTCTCTCCTTCGGGTGCTTCAAGATTCTGTTTCACTGAATGAAATGTTGTAAGTAGACGCAGAGTCTTAGATCAAGAGTGACATACATAAGATGCTCATAATATCCTTCCCCTGTCCAAATTGTTGCTTGAGCTCTTCATCACCGCTCAGGAGTGCCTGCTTCTTGTCCATGAAGATACCCCGAGATCGCGCGTCCATGATCTCCGTGATTTTCTTCACACGTTGGAAGTTGGGGTCCGGAACCAGGCTGGCGAGAAAACGGCGGAACCAAGCTGGACCTAGCCACTTATTGAGTGGCGAGAGCATGATCCACACTCTCATCCCCGCGACCGCCGGTCTGTCAAACCAAAAGATGTAAGCTGATGTAGACCAGACCAAAGAGATAAACGAACTGAATGCCCTTCAGCGCGTGACCATAGCTGTCTTTCATATCGGAAACAAGAGGATCAAACGAATATCCAAGCCCTCCCTGCCCTATAAGCTCGAGCGCGGCGCGTCCCATCCACATGAGGACATCGACTTCTCTGGACTTCCCTCCGATCTCCGTATGTACTGCTTTCTTCAGCTATATTGCAATGCTGTTAGCGGGATACTTCACAGATAATAAGTAGGTACCTGGTGCATGATTTGGTAAAACACCGGCGTCATGTAGCGCATATGGGCGATGGAGAAAACGGGAGTTAGAGCCTTGCGGTGTACACGATGTTCATTTCCTGTAAATAAGGTTACAGGTAAGATCACAGAGACACAGTTCTCGTTTTCAGCGATAGTTTCGTACCCATCTTAGTCAGGATTCCTGGGCCAATGACCAAATTTCCGAACCTGTTTGAGGAAAGTCGTAAGTCTTGGAAAGACCGCGAGAATAGACTTGGACGTACTGAACCTGAGATGAGCTCCTCTCGTATACGTACTGGTCCTTGACGATGATACTTTGGAGCGCCTTTGGATCGTAGACTAGTAGCGCGCGTTTCTGGTGCATATATCTTAGCGTCGTTCCGTAGAGATCACAGTGACAGGAACTTACACCAAACATTTGCGTGAGCCTGGCCACCATTCCATACCTCTCGCTGACTTCCTTGTGAAAGTCCAGCGCACTCTTGCGATGGAACAATTGGATGACATTGCCTGAGAGGACTTATGAACGCTTGAAGGGGTGTAGAGGTTTGTACGTACCTGTCCACCACGACCCGGGCGGCGGACCAGGTATATTGTCGAGCGGGGATTTGGTCACGTATGGGCGAGCCAACTTCCATAGGAGCAGTATGGCGCCGACCAGGAGCAAGGTTTGTATATTCACGAGAGCCATCAGAGCGATGGACTTTGGACGGGGGATTGAGGTGGCATGAACAGGGCTACATCGCCCTATTTAACCCTCCTCGCGCTGCGGTTAACAGACTGGGACCTGAGCTGCATATCAAGAGTGCTTGCCTTATGGGCCGCCCGAACGCTCCGCATAGACGGCATTTGATGGAAGAAGCTCGTAAATGACCACCTGTGAGAAATTCGTGGGAAGTTCTAGCGACGAGCCGATCCCAGCGGGTACGAGGTAGAAAGTAGACGTTGTAGAAGACGAAAGAAGTCAGTCCCAGCTGTCCCTGCAGATCTATGAAGCACGCATGACTCACTAGTAATGACGCAGGGATGTTCTGAGCTCTGTCCGTCCGTGCTCGTCGTCGAGCTCGACGTTCCTGGAGTAGGCATAGCTAATAGTTATGACTAGTGGCGGTGATACGTGCCGAATCAACGCATTGCGAAGCACGAGGTCCACCCGCGAGACCCATGCAGTCGCGGAGAAATCGGTACAACGATATCGGTGGGATTGAGGAGGCCTTTAACCTCGACCAAATCTGTTCCCGCCATAAACCGAAGGTAATACGGTCGATATCCATGCCACTAAACCTACTCAGTGGGCAGTGGGCAGATGGACAACATGCACTAGTGAGCAAAAGGAGCGTAAATGAGTAATGGTTGAAGGGTAGACCTGAAGACTCTCACCCCACAGTTGAGACCCGTCGCTGTTCTGACGCCACTACAATTCAATCGGAATCAATCAGTAGCGGAAGCGTAGAGCACTGTCTTCGACTTACATGTATCTTTCGAAACGACTGTCTCGACACTACCAATTCATGGACATGCACTCAAATCCGCACTCTACAAATACATATATACACGAGATCAGGTACCTCTCAAGGCGGTGAGACACCGAAGTCTTAACTAAGCAGCTCTTGCTTTAGATTTAGTACAAAATAAACGTAACACGATCCATTTCCAACACGCAATAACTTACGATACGTTTTTACTGGGTAGTACCCTTGGCAGCTTTGATGAATGCCCGGACCTTATCTGTATCCTTCCTAGTTTCGCCATCCATCTCCACCCCACCACTAACGTCTACGGCCCACGGATGCACGGTGTCCACAGCCTCGCGTACATTCTCTGGCGTAAGCCCTCCTGCTAGGATGATCGGCATAGGATACGGCGTTTTCACACCTTCCACACTCCCAACCTCGCCTTTCTTCACGACATCCCTCGCGAGTGCCCAATCGAGCTTCGCACCCGAGCCGCCGCTCAGGCCGCTCGCTGCGCCAGGCACGACAGCGTCGAGTAGTACGAACTTGTTCAGCCCAGGGCGCCTGAGATCTGCGAGACCCTCTCCGTGTTCGTTGACGTGGAAGACGCGGATGACGGGTACGGGGATGTGTTTCGCCCACTCCGCCGGCTCGGACCCGTGCAGCTGGACGATATCCAGACCAGTGGCAGCCACGGCTT